TTTTTCTTTTTCATGTTTATCTTTTTTTTTTTTTTTTTAACTTTTAAATTGATGAAAATTATATTTTAAAAAAGGGAATAAATCTTATGCTCTCTAGATTCCAAAAAACTAGAAATAGTTTGAAAAGCTCTCTTTTGTGTGTACGTATGTGCGTGTACGTGTGTGCGTATGTGCTTGTACGTATGTGCTTGTGTGTGTGTACGTGTGTGCACGTGTACGTGTGTATGTGTGTGCGTGTGTGCGTGTGTGTGTATGTACGTGTGTGCGTGTGTGTGTGTGTGTGTACGTGTGTGTGTGCGCGTGTATGTGTGTGTGTGTGTGATGAACGATTAATAAAGTAATGAACATAGTTCCTGTAAAGCTTGTTCATTGATCCATTTTTATCTTGTCGAAGTGGCTATTCGCAAACGTGTACCAGAAGTGACAAGTTGGGATTAAAACAACTTTATCAAATATTATTGTTGGGTTTGTAAGACAAATATAATAATGGCATGGACTATATGTTTGTTAACTTACTTCTGCAGTTGAACTAAGATAGACGACCACAAATGACATCCGAATAGCATTTAGTCAAAAAGGCCCCGGAAACGTGGTGCCGCCTTTCGCACCGGGGTCCCATTAGATATTGATATATATATATATATATATATATATATATATAATTTTCTTTCTGGCATTCGTCCGTCACAATGTGACGACGGTGAAGACTTCACAGCAAATCGCCTCCTTTGCACGCCGCTGGATGACCCGAGTGACCATCACTCCATCTCCGGGTTTGAATTCAGAGTTTCCTTCTCTTTTGATGTTTTTTTTTTGGTTTTTTTTTTTGCTTTTGTGTTGTACTCCAGACCACCAACTTGAGATTTGCTCAGTTTAGACCACTCGGCTACCCAGCGCCCCATATGTGTATATGTATAGATTTCTTCTGGCACATACATTTCACACAATATTTTACAAAATCTACATTAAACAACAAGCGAACATTCATGTCAATGGGACCTTGAAGAGTCTAGTTGTGAGGCCAAGTCTGCAGCCTTTCGCTACCACATGGCAATTCTTCAATTAGTTCCCAGCCCGGTTGAAGACGTCAGTACCGGTACCCCCCACTTATCGCCGGAAGGATAACTCTTCCCCAATTTTTGGTGGGGAATCGTCCAGGTTTCGGCATTGAACAATGCAAGCAAGGGTATTACATATTAGGCTGCGCGACGGCGTTCGTTGTTCTGCTATGAAGAATTTTACAGCAGGCTTGAGGGACTGCGGCTCATGTGAAAACCTCACGTCATAAGATAACTTATGAGTGGTGTCCGATCACAGCGCCGAGCAATGCATAAATATAGAGTTAATTGTCGCAGGTAAACCTGTTGTGAGAGTAGGTTCAAAGCTCCTCTCTCTTTCTGTTGGGTGTGCCTTTGTGTGGTGTTTTTTTTTTGTGGGGGTGGGGGGTGGTTGATTGCGTGGGAGGGTGTGGGGTGGGGAGGATTATAATATGTCTATTTTGGACTCTTTTTTTTTTTTTAAATTCCGACAGTCATAATGAAATTTATCATATTAATTTTATAAAAGTTATCCCAATATAAGTCAAGGCCCTTCTTTGAGAGTGGCAGCTCCAAGCCTTTCTGTTTCCCACACAAGCTCCAAANGTATCAACATCGACTGATGTGTTTATAATTTGTTGTGTGTTGTATCAACATCGACTGATGTGTTTATAATTTGTTGTGTGTTGTATCAACATCGACTGATGTGTTTATAATTTGTTGTGTGTTGTATCAACATCGACTGATGTGTTTATAATTTGTTGTGTGTTGTATCAACATCGACTGATGTGTTTATAATTTGTTGTGTGTTGTATCAACATCGACTGATGTGTTTATAATTTGTTGTGTGTTGTATCAACATCGACTGATGTGTTTATAATTTGTTGTGTGTTGTATCAACATCGACTGATGTGTTTATAATTTGTTGTGTGTTGTATCAACATCGACTGATGTGTTTATAATTTGTTGTGTGTTGTATCAACATCGACTGATGTGTTTATAATTTGTTGTGTGTTGTATCAACATCGACTGATGTGTTTATAATTTGTTGTGTGTTGTATCAACATCGACTGATGTGTTTATAATTTGTTGTGTGTTGTATCAACATCGACTGATGTGTTTATAATTTGTTGTGTGTTGTATCAACATCGACTGATGTGTTTATAATTTGTTGTGTGTTGTATCAACATCGACTGATGTGTTTATAATTTGTTGTGTGTTGTATCAACATCGACTGATGTGTTTATAATTTGTTGTGTGTTGTATCAACATCGACTGATGTGTTTATAATTTGTTGTGTGTTGTATCAACATCGACTGATGTGTTTATAATTTGTTGTGTGTTGTATCAACATCGACTGATGTGCTGGTTTCAGAAATTAAAAAAAAAAAACGATTGAGAAAGACTTACCCAGCTGTATGATGAGGCACATCATCGAGAAGCAGGCCTTAAGATTCAGGAGATTCATCATCTTGTCAGGAAAGACTACTCTTTTTATTCGCAAATGTTGTACATTCAGAGTCTTATCTCCCTTAACTTGATCCCCAGATAGGATGGAGTGAAGGTTTTTTAGAAACAAGTCACGACATTGTAGAAGATTAGATAGGATTATATCTTTACAATAAGGGTAATAATAATAATAATAATGATAATACGTCTTACTGATATCACCAGTCCTTCGAATTCCCCTCACACAACACAAAAACGTACCTGTCCCGCTGCACTGACACGAACTCAACTGTCACAATAAAATCCCCCCTGTCACTCATATCTCACCTGTCCCAATCACTTTCCTCTAACTTACCTGCCCCCCACACCCCCAACATCCCTTTCACAAAAAATTCATAGGTCCCACACTCCTCATATTAAAATGTCACACTACACACACTTACAACTACCGCCAACTTACATGTCAAACTCATCACTACCACAAGCTTACCTGTCACACACACACAAACCACTACCACAAAATGTACCTTATGAATTCACCTCCACCACAAGTTCACACGCCACACACATCCCACACAAGCTCACCAACTACTTTTTAATCGAAAACTTTAAGGGCGAAAAAATTTGTTTTTCAATTATGTTCAAATCAAGAGAAATTTTTGTACTTTCATTATAAATTAGAACCGTGTATTTTACCTCAATGTATTGACATAGTATGTGAGGTATTTTACGTCCCACATAAATATAAACCTAGGTATATAAATAGTTATGATATTCCGGCACTAGATCAATAACAATTAGGTATGGAACCAACACAAAATGATTATGTCCTATTCACCCATAAACAATAAGTTATATAAATAGTTTTTAAAATAGTCCTCTATCAAAGTATACACAAAAGGTTTATAACCTGTTATAATACATTTTTTCACTACGTAAGCATACCACAAACATTGTCCACTAATCAGATAAACAGATATGTATACAAAAGTAATAGTAAAAGTTCTTGTTTAGAGTAATTTTTTGTGTGTGGAAATAATTGAGTAAATTATGAGAATACTTCCATGAGTTGCTTTAACCCTTGCTAACAAATACAACATTTGTAATGCTTTAACTATTTTCTGTTTAGCAATAAATCCTTCAGAAAAATGCGAAACAATATTATAATATTTTAATGCGTTGTTTTCACACAAACAAATTATATTTCTATTATTAAAAGAAAATGAAAATGTCGTAAAAATAAGGAAAAAACAAATATAAGTCAACGTTTGGATAACAAAGAGGATATTTTCTCCTTTGAACCAATTGATATAATACATTTTGTTATCCGTATAATACATGAATTGTATTTTGTTAAAAAAAGATTTACTAAGAACAATTGCATTGGCATCCTCACGTCTTCATGAGACGATATCTTCTTGACACACTTCTCTCAACTGGCTGTTTGGGTTGATCATGGATTAAAAGTTTCAGCTGCACTTCTTGTTTGAGAACCTTTGACTCCTGGATTACTTTGGCTGGCCGTAATATCATTTTTTTTTAAATTAATGCCACTGCCATATAGGAGCGTACTGCGCACACATGAAGGGCTTATGTGGTCCACACTTCACTGTCATGTAGGAGCGTACTGAGCACACATAAATGGCTTATGTGGTCCACACTTAAGTGCCATATAATGGCGTACTGAGCACACATAAATGGCTTATGTGGTCCACACTTCACTGCCATATAGGAACGTACAGAGCACACATAAATGGCTTATGTGGTCCACACTTAAGTGCCATATAATGGCGTACTGAGCACACATAAATGGCTTATGTGGTCCACACTTCACTGCCATGTAGGAGCGTACAGAGCACACATAAATGGCTTATGCCACACTTCACTGCCATATTTTTAGCGTACAGAGCACACATGAATGGCTTATTTGGTCCACACTTCACTGCCCTATAGGAGCGTACAGAGCACACATGAATGGCTTATGTGGTCCACACTTAACTGCCATATAGGAGCGTACAGAGGAAACATGAATCGCTAATATGTGCCACAATTTACTGCCATATATGGGCGTACTTTAGCGCGTCCAGTAATAAACAACTTAACCAGCCGATCAATTTTTTGTTTCCCTCCCCCTCACACCCCCCCCCCAACCATTCCCACTCCATGAAAAAAAGCCTGAAATGACGCCCATGACTTTCACGCTTCTGATCATGACTTCTCCCTCGATGAACTTAACTGCCATATAGGAGCGTAAAGAGGAAACATGAACCGCTAATATGTGCCACAATTTACTTCCATATATGGGCGTACTTTAGCGCGTCCAGTAATAAACAACTTAACCAGCCGATCAATTTTTTGTTTCCCTCCCCCTCACACCCCCCCCCCCAACCATTCCCACTCCATGAAAAAAAGCCTGAAATGACGCCCATGACTTTCACGCTTCTGATCATGACTTCTCCCTCGATGGCGAGTTAGCTACAGGTATTAGACCCAAGGTATGGAAAGTTTTGTATGTAAAAATACGGACAGTTTTGTGTAAATGTACAGCAACTGTTTTCTTACTAGTGGGACGGTTCGTTTTTCTTTAGAGTGTTGGTCGTTCAACAATCGGTACAACAAAAATATATAACAAAAAAAAACAAAAAAAACAATATGAAACAACAAACAAAGGAAATCATTTCAATAACCCACAAGCAAACAAACAAACACACAAAGGAAATTCGAACTAAAAATTCTTGAATGCTTGTATAAAATGTGTAGAAACATTTATTAGCAAAAAGATATGAAAATACAGAATACAGATTTTACACATTAATAAAATAATGACATGTATAAATTCGTGTAAAATAAATAGGTAATTAAGTCATACCTTGCCTAAACAAAACATTATACAATATATATTTTTAATATATAATATATATATTTACATACATAGACATGACGATTTGAAGTGAAAAATTTTAATTCTATTATTTAAAAAAAATACAAAGTGTATGTTAATACATTGGTTTTGCTGAAAGAAAGCTATATTCACTAAACTGAATAATTCTTGTATTATTCACAAAACATAAAGTCGTTATGTAAAGACGTCAAAGAGACATATTTCTTCACACATTATTAAAAAACATTTATTTTTAAAGTTCAGCTGTTGGTCAAGTACTGCTCCGTTTACTGCTAATTTATGTATCTGAAGATGAAAGTGTTCAGCTTTGTCTGGTTGACCACGTTTTCTTCTTCGCTACATTCCCCTGAGTGGGCGAAGTAGACCTTCTTGCTAGCACGCTTGCCACAGTTCCGGGAATTGAGCTTACAAAGATTTGGGTAGGTCTTGCGGTCACTTCCGCAAATAGGAGCGTGTTTTTCAAGCTCACAGGCACGGTAGCATCCCTTGTCCGGTCCCCCGGGACCGTACGGTCCACCTAAACCCCCAGTGCCCCCAACACCCGCCCCGCCAAAGTAATTCCCATCTCCCCCGTCACCACCGTTTCCTCCATTGCCACCGTTCCCTCCATTAGCGCCACTCCCCCCGGGACCACCAGCACCCCCTTTACCTGCGGCTCCACCAGGAGCTCCATTTCCACCTTTTGTTCCGGGCCCCCCTCTCCCCCCGGGTCCACCAGGACCCCCTGGTCCCCCATTCACACCTGGTCCACCGGGAGACCCCTTTTCCCCAGGAATACCAGGGTAGCCGGGCAATCCAGGATCACCATCCCTCCCAGCCAGCCCAGGTTCCCCGGCAGCCGCGGTTCCCATGGCCAGACATTCTTCACCGGGCGAACCATTCTTCCCAGGTATCCCGGGTTGCCCGTTTCGTCCAGGACTCCCGCCAAGCCTGTGTCCCCTGAATCTTAGAGGTCCTTTAGCCCCCAATGTTTCCCCAGGAGGCCCAGGTGTACCATCACTACCAGACATCCCTTTCCTTCCATGATCCCCAGATGTCCCAGAGATCTCTGCTTCAGGCAGGTGCGCGTCTACATCATATCCTGGAAAATTTAAAAAAATTGTTTAATTATTTTTGAAGATCATTACATTCTCTACGCTGATATTTGAATTTTTGTTTCATCATGTTCATATGTGTGTCAACTCGCCGTTTTTTCTGAAATCTGTTTATACATATATGAATACAGACATACATACATACATAATACATATATATATATATATATATATATATATATATATATATATATATAAACGCTTATTCTTTTATAAATAAGATAAAATTATTTGATTCATCCAAATAGACAGAAATGTATTAATGTTATGACACTATCCCTATTCATTTCAGCACATTTTATATAAAAAATGAAATACTAAGTTTTTAAAAGATTAAAAATTAAAATATATTTATATTTTTTTTTTTTTTGGGGAAAAAGTTTCTCAAATAAACGAATGGTAAAGACAACAGAGATTGAGATCAGCCATGCGTGCCGTCCCCTCCCACCAAGGAGACAATGAATTTGAAAATAAAATATCCCCGCGAAAACGATTTGGGAACGTGAACTCAAGCAACAAGAAAGGGAACAGGTCGTGGCTTGTGCCAAACTTTATTTTTCAGTTTTCGCTTTGAGCGCATCAACGTCATTTCAACGTTCAATGTGGTGACACCAGTGGCCATTCTATACACACATATATATATATATAATTGTATGTAGATAGACCACAACGGAATGTTCGTTGATTTCGTTGATCTGGTTTGTTTTGACACAAGCCAACCATCCGTTTGACAAAGTACGTGGGCCTGGAAGTATGAAACTCTCTTTCTCTCTCTATATATATATATATAGATAGATATATATTGCCTCTGGTGTGACTTCTTCCATTTCCGAACCGACCCTCCCCATACTCAACATATCTTAAATTATTAGTACTTAAGGGCCCCCCTCCCCCTTTTTTTTAAGGTTGAGCAACGAGTATTACGCGTGACGGTTGAACTTAGGTAAGGATTAATTTTTTTTTCCGAGATGACTATTATATTAATCAATATAGAGCCCCGAGTATTGTGTAGGACTATCCTTAGGACTACCTGTAGGACTATTATTTAAAAGCTGACATTTAGTGTTCAATGAACTTCTGTAGGACTATTGTTTAATAGTAGTGTGTAGTGTGTAGTACTGTCGGTAGACCTTTCGTTTAAAGGCCGGTAGCAATGGTTCTATAACTGTCTGTAGGACTATTCTTTAAAGGCTGGCATATATTATAGAAAATAAGAAATTAAATATTTTTTTTTTTTTATGGAACTCTTGGACCTACCGTATATTGTCTCAAAATGCACCTACCCAGTTTTTTTTGTAAAAAAAGCTGCACCCGTAAAGCCCTAGTTAATTAGTTAACAATTTGTTTTGTTATTATCGTCTTGAATAAGCCTTAGATCTGTGTAAGCCCATTAAGCGATGCATGTGTGTTGTTGTATAAACATTAATGAATGTGCTTGTCGCACACAACATGAAGACGATTGAGAAAGACTCACCCTGTTCTAGAACGCACATCAACACCAGGCAGGCGGTAAGATTAAGTACGCTCACCATCATGTCAGCAGAGACTACCCTTTGATTGGCAAAGTTGTCAAGTCAGTCTTACTTCCCCTTTTCAAAGAGACCAAAATAAAATGGTGTCAGTTGATTATTGTGTATGTTGAATACCAAGCCAAAAACACTGAAGACGATTTGGTTGTGTTTTATCTTGAATTTTAAAAATGACAGCAACAGACAAATTAACTACAAGTAGTTGCTGACGCCACGCAGCTTTTGTGTCCCACGCCCCACCCAACAAAAACCCACCTGCACGTCCCACAATCCCACCCGTCCCACACCCGCACACAAACTGACCCCAACGACACTTATGACGCACTCACCTGTCCCAGTCAAATCAAACAAACTCACTTGACTCCTCCCTACGCTTCACATAACAAACTTACTTGTCTCACACTCCTTCACATATACATATATATATATATACTGCTGTGTCACACCCAAAACTACCACACACTTACCTGTCACGAACATCGATAAAACAAAACTTACCTGTCTCACACATACCACTAGTACACACTGACATGTCACACACATACCACTAGTACACGCTGACATGTCACACACATACCACTAATACACACTGATATGTCACACACATACCACTAGTACACACTGACATGTCACACACATACCACTAGTACACACTGACATGTCACACACATACAACTTGTACACACTGACATGTCACACACATACCACTAGTACACACTGACATGTCACAAACATACCACTGGTACACGCTGACATGTCACACACATACCACTAATACACACTGACATGTCACACACATACCACTAGTAAACACTGACATGTCACAAACATACCACTAATACACACTGACATGTCACACACATACCACTAGTAAACACTGACATGTCGCACACGCATCACAACAACAAAGTTAACTGTCTCATACATACCACAACCACTAACGTAGCTACCACACGGACTACTACTACGAACTAACATTTGAAACACATACACACACCACTGCCGCACAGTTACCTTTTAAAAACACTGCATGGGTATACTGCCAGGTTCATAACTAGTAATAATGGTCCTAACACTACTTAAGTATACAAAATGGTATATAACAAATAAGTTAATATAAGAAATGATACATTAGTAATAATATAAATAATGTCATCAACCAAAATATAAAGCCATGTAAATAACAATTAATAAAATTATTGCTCGCTGCATAGCTACACAACAATGGCTTACAATTTGTATAAATAGTATTGAAAAAAACCCTTCTTCTTTATTTCAGGGCCAACGATCAATGTATTGATCATTCTCACAACAATCAATATATACAGAAATGTATATAAGTAGCTAGAGTCCACTTCCATAAAATGCACACACACACAACCTATATATATATAAGTAGCTAGTGTCCACTTCGACAATATGCAGATACGAATATAACTAGATATTGTCCACTTCCTCAGTATGCAGATTTGGAAACAAATAGTTATGTTGGCACTGTCCACTTTACGACTGAGTGAACACCATCAACACTGACTTCACCCTGCCATGGCAGATTCGGCTAAATTGAATTGTGACAACAATAAAGAATTTTACGGTTTCCGATGAAGTATTATGATTTCGTTGTCCCGGTGTAATTCTATTGGTGAAACAAATCTGCGGTCCACAAGATCCTGGCGTTGTTTGATCAGAAATCCGTCTAATCCCGAGTAGGCCCAGCTGATGAGAACACACGCGCGCCTACACACATCACGAGTGTGGGGGGGGGGAATAAAAAAGACTAATAATAAATTAAGTCGCAGTTTAAACGGGGACGACGCAAGACTTAAGATATAGGCCAAGGTCAAGGCTAAATGTGAAGCGGAACTCTCAACAGCCGGATCGATGTCACCGCGCGCTGACCCATTTATGTTCCCCCCCCCCCCCCCCCCCCCGCAACAACCCCCCCCCCACTCACACAAACAAAACCACGCCGTCAATGCAAAGAAGATAATATGCCATGACGTCATTTGCGTGTTTACTAAAGTTGCAGTGGATCACGTCATTTGCGTGTTTATTAAAGTTGCAGTGGATCACGTCATTTGCGTGTTTATTAAAGTTGCAGTGGATCACGTCATTTGCGTGTTTATTAAAGTTGCAGTGGATCACGTCATTTGCGTGTTTATTAAAGTTGCAGTGGATCAGGGTTCAGGTAAAGTTTAGGGCTACGTTTACTTACATTTAGTGACAGAATTAACTGGTCTGGTCAACTGAAATGGCGGCCATTGTAAAAAAACAAAAAAAAACAAAAACAACATAGCATCTCTTATTTACTTTTACCCAATACGCACCTACATTTTTCTTTCTTTTTAAAAAAAAAAAAACGCTTAAAAATATCTCCGATGTTAAATGTCGGCTTACAAAAATGTAAAGGCACATTTAATTATTTCTTTTAAGTATTTTGTTTATGGCATTATAGAAAAAAGAAGCACGTTAAAATTTGGCATGTTTAAAGTAGTAATAGTTAAAATAATCAATCAGCCACCACCGCCCCAACCTTATTTCCTCCCCCCCCCACCCCCCAGTATTTTCATATTGTTTATGTTTAGGTTAATTTTTTAAAACTGAGTAACCACAACTTCAACTTTTTCTAATCGATAATTGTAATATTTTTTTTTTTTTTTCTTTCCTGAGTTATATATTAAATTCTACTTCAATACCAAGATTCACACACTTAATTGTTGATTTAGGCTATTCTTAGAAAACGGGAATTTAAAAGTACCTACTGGATGTGTCAGTTATGGAATTGAAAATAAAGACTCTTTAGAATACGTTAAAATAGTTTCGCTAAATATCAAATCATTTCATAAAGAAATTTCAATGACGTTTTTAAAAAAGGTGTGTGGTGGTGTCTTCTTACCTTTTTTTTTCTTGTTAACAACATCAAATATTGACATTTTTTCTTCAGATTTTTTCTTAAAGATTACCACCATTTTTTTTTTTTTATTTAAAAAAAAAAAAACAAAAAAAATTGTTATGCAATATGTCAATGGATCACTGGGTGGTGACATCCACTAGACTGTTAAAAGTACGTCTCCTGACGTAACCTTGACCTAGGCTAGGGTTATATCGTGAGGTAAAAAGATCGTCATTCATATAGACTGCTACTTAGTTTTAATTTATTTACTTTTGAGTGGGGGGAATGCGATATGGAATACCTTATGGTCACGTGCTTTTCTCGGCTTTGTGGAATTTTTCGTCATCATGACAACCTCGTGTGTCTTTAACTTTACATTGTAGATGTAATTTTTTCTATTATTTTTTTTTTTTTTTTTTTTTTTTTTTGGGGTTCTTTTTTTTTTTTAGAGTGTTTGGATTTTTGCTTTAAAAAATATTTTTTTTTTTTTTTTTTTTTTTTTTTTTTTTTTTTTTTATTTTTTTTTTTTTTTTTTTTTTGTCATTGGGGATCATTTATATATCTAGAGTGATTGGATTTTTGCTTTAAAAAATGAAGTATATATTAAGGCAGCAATTTATACAATCGTATACATATAATATTTCAATACATCCCTTATTGTATTGTCTGTTAAAAATGTAATGTATAAGCATATTTATTAATATTGAAATATTTGAAGTGCTTTTGTTAGTATGTTTGTTTGTTCATGTGTTCGTGGATTTGCTTTGTTTGTGTTTAAAAAATGAAGTATATATTAAGGCAGCAATTTATACAATCGTATACATATAATATTTCAATACATCCCTTATTGTATTGTCTGTTAAAAATGTAATGTATAAGCATATGTATTAATATTGAAATATTTGACGTGTTTTTGTTAGTATGTTTGTTTGTTCATGTGTTCGTGAATTTGCTTTGTTTGTGTTTAATTTATAATTTTTATTTTTTTTATGTTTTGTTAGGTTAAAGAAAGTGTTTGTTTTGGTTATTTTTGTTTGATGTTGTTGTTTTTGATTGTGGGGGAGGTTTTTTTTTTTTTTTTGGGGCGGGGGGTCGGAAGAGCTACGGGTAAGATTAATCTGGGTTTGGACTTTCGGTTAATTTGTGGGGGGTTGTAGATTGGCGTGGCAAGGTGCATGATGACGCTGTAAAGGGATCAGGCTTATCACGGCCGTAATTATCTGGGCTGTCGTCATTTTGATTGAAGGCTGCGCCATGACCTTGCTTGGCTTAAGGGCAGGAGTGTGTCGTGTTCAGGTCAAATGCCAAGGTACATGTTATGATTCCCTTTAATTAACTAAATTCTGTTTACGTTATCGCTATTTACATGAAATCTTTTCTTTGCACGTAACTTGTTCTGCTTTTGGGACATCTTTTATGCGCATGTCCCGAATTTTGTACATGGCGTCACTGACTTCGTCAACGAAAATGGCCGACACCTAAAATAAAAGTGGGTCACAAAATGGCGTCCAACATCCGATCCAATATTAAATAAGTTATCATCGTGTTCTTTTTATTTTCTTTTTAAAATTTTGAATTGATCAAAAGTAAAAAAAAAAAAAAGTATATAAAAAATTAATTCTTATCCTCTTGAGATTCAAAAAACTAGAAATAATTTGAAAAGCACTCTTGTGTGTGTTTATGTGTGCGTGTTTGTGTGTGTGTGTGTGTAATGAACGAAAAGTAAAATCATGAACAAAGTTCCTTAAAATCCTGCTCATTAAGACATTTTATCTTGTTTCCTTTAAAATTCGTTTTATGTTTTAAGCTCTTATTCCATTTTTATTTTTAACAATTTAAAAAAAAAAATTTTTAGTTTGTATAATACAGAAATAACTATGATTTTATAACTATATTTTTTTACGAACTGAATTTTTTTTTCTATTCATAAATAATAATCAAACTATAAAAATCGAACGACACGCTTGCAACGAAAAAAAAAAAAAAGAAACACACACACACACAAATAAACAAAACAAAAAAAAACAATAAATTGTACGATCGGAATAAAGACTTTATGGATAATATGTTTAACAATTTAACAAAATGAAGAGAAAAATACATTAAAAACACATTATGAACTGTATAAATAAGAATAACTATGATATATACGTCATTTTGTTGGTTTAAGCCAGTGGTTCCCAGCCAGTGCTCAGCGGAGCCCTAAATGCAAGGCCTGCTCTTCTCATGGGGCTACTTGGACGCTCAAGGCAATAAATAACAGTGTTAACGTGTACAACATATTTAGGCCCCCTCAAATTGGCTCCATCCGACCCTCCTCAATATAAATTTAACTTTAAAAGGGCTCAAGGAGTCACAAAGTTTAGGAATCACTGGTAAAAGGCCATATTATAAATAAATGTGCCATAACAAAATGGAGTTATATAACTATTAATATTAACTTAACAATTCTCTTATTCCGCTGGACAATAACTCTTGTGTTATTCACAAAACATTAAGTCTTAACGTAAATAATTTAATTAGATACATTTTTTTGATACAATAGATACATTTTTAAAGCTCAAGATTGTTTAAAGGAAACTGAATAAACAAAATGTTCATTTTTTTTTAACAGTGACAGCAGGAGTTATCCTCTTGTAAGCTGGCTTGACACAGTGCCAGGATTGGAAACATTTGTGTAGGTTTTACCGTCACTTAGATAATCAGGAGTATGTTTGAGTTTACAGGCACGGCTACATGCCTCATTTTGTCCCCAATTACACCCCACTCCCTTAGACCAATAACCACCCCCCCAAGGTTACCCCCTCAACACCCTTAGGTCTCTTATCCCTCCCATCACAAGCTTGTCTTCCTATACCCCTTAAACCATAGCACCACCAGCGCCCCCGACACCTCCAGCGCCCCCAACACCTCCAGCGGCAGCAGCTGCCCCTGACCCCCCGTTGCCGCCGTCTCCACCGTTAGCAGCATTTCCTCCATTCCCCCCATTAGTGCCAGACCCCCCAACACCCCCAGTGCCCCCGACACCCCCAACTCCTCCAACGGCCCCTGGCCCAGACCCCTGGCCCAGCATTACCCCCTTTTCCTCCATAGCCAGCTTTTCCTCCCTTACCCCCATCCCCGGCAACAGACCCGGCACCCCCTGCGCCACCAGACCCCCCAGCACCTCCAACTCCGCCACCTCCAGCTCC